AACACTTTGTGTTAAATAAAGATAATTAAAGCATCAATGATCCATCCATTTCATGTTTAATTAGCCTCTCTTTCATCATAATTTGTTACTGAAGGTCAAATGTGGGTCACTTTTAAAAACTAATTGCAAAATATTTAATATAATGCAAAATGAGAACAGAAAATTCAAAATACTTCTGTACACTTTTCACTAAAGAGTATTAAAGTCAAATGTATGATAGAATTCACCAATGTAAATGTTTTTACTTAATAACAATGTTCCAATTTTTTTTTACATTTCACTTACAAATTGTTGTTGTTATTATTATTATACTGTAGGATATTTGCTTAGCTAAAAGTTGTGAAAAACTTCATTCTTTACAGTTACTCTGTGGTTATAAAAAGTACTCTTTGAGATAAACATCCCTGTGTATGTGTGTGTGTATACACAAGCAAGAAAAACGATGGTGCTTTCCTGCATGGTTAAACTGATTGCCCCCTTAATGGATGAATTTTGGGTCCTGTCAAGGCTGCTGAGTATATGTGCATGTTTATGAGGAAATTGACCCATTTAGTTTATAGATACAATTCACATACACGATAACCAACAAGTTAAAATGCTTCTATATTGCAACAGACTAATTGATGTTTGAAATATTGCAAAAATAAATGAACTAGTTACTGTACAAATATTTTTTTCAGAAATTAATTTCTATATATTTCACTTTCATGAAAATAAGACTTTACAGGAAATGCATCTAATTCTGATTAGTGTGTCAGCCCACTCTGGTATGATAAATATTTTTCTTCACTAAACAGTACATTTCCAATGAGAAAAGGCATTGTGATTTTTCATAAAGAATTACAGAATTGGCTAAGAAGTCAATACCCCAAGCAAATGTTGCTTAGAAATTCCTGTATTGATTCTGCTAATTCTACTGATAGTGACTAGCACCTCTTAAAAAATAAAAACAAAAACCAAACAAAATCGCAAAAACAGACAAACAAAAAAAAACAAACAAAAAAACAAAGGCAAAACCATCAGCACCATAACTGCAGTGTCTTAAGGAGTCAATAATCACTGTTCAGTAGAGCAAATAAAAAAGAAAACAAAATAATATGATGGCAAAAAACATATAAACAGTGTTTAAAAGGCCTGTTGTTCAAACGGTGGTTGTTAACATGCTGACTCGTGATTAAAAGTTTCAGTGAAATAAACCTGCTCAGATGTCAATATTTTGCGCACTGTGAGACAAAGTGTGTGTAGGGGGAAGAATATATTATAAAGATATATCTGAAACTAAATGACAAAATAAACAATTATTTACAATTAAAATCCATTCTGAGAATTATAATTAAGTATGTAACTCTCCAAGCTGCTAAGTGAGTCCTCTAAGGCCCTGAGCTTTCCTTATCTTTGGCTGTCTTTGCTGGAAGTTCGTAGTAACCAGAGTCCTCACAGGGAGCATACAACTTTAACTTTTGGCAAGTGATTAAGACCTATGGAATACTAAGTGATTTAAAATTTGTTTGGCATTAAGTAGATAAGTGCCTTACTGAAAAGGAGAGAATTGATAAGTGAGAGGCTAAAAGAATATTTCAGAGTAATACTATGTTAAACAAGAACAGGAGTTAAATTTGTGAAAGTTGTCCTACAAAAAGTGACAGTGAAATGTCAGAAGTCTACCGAATACAGAATTTAGGTTTTAACTTTATATAACCCATGATGTCAAGAAAGAGGAGAGTCACAAATTGTTTGCAGTTTTCTCTACTGGAGTTCTCTTATACAATGCTGTATCAAACAAGATATATTTGGGAACTCATATAAGAATTCAATTCATCAACTTGAAAAGGAAGTATCAAATAATCAGAATGAAAACAACTTGCATTTGCTGGGGTACACCAGTAGGTCATGTAAGTAGAGACTTTATTTCCTGACTGCTCTAATGTAGGTATACAAAAGTATCAATTGCCAATTCTAATTACACTAATGGGAAATTAGTATTGCTCTCATCTCCAATAACTTAGAGCAGGTACATTCTGCTGAGTCCAGTTATTTGTTCTAAAATTTTATCTACCTTCTAATGTCTTCTTAGAACAAAGACAACTGACAATGAGTAAATAAAGACAGTCTTAGAGATTTCAAGTAGTATCCCTACCATGATCATGTCAATATGCCACTGGTTCTGTTTCACATGTACAAGAGAACTATGAAACAATCTGATATACACCACATCAGAACCTGATATACACCACATTTATCTGCATCTGCTTCACATTTCTCTCCTAACAATGTGCTGAACAAGAGCTCCATGTGGTTTGGGTGTTAAAATTCCTCATGTATTTTTCCTGCTAAATTAAGAAATACTGAACTGTCAATGTTTGAGATGTGAAAAGTGCATATTGCTTATGCAAGTAGAGTCTTAATGTCCCCATTACTCTGCAAAAGCATGAAAAAACCAGACAAATGTCACTCAGCAACAAGCTGGCAAGTACCCATAGGACAGTGGTAATAAAGCTTACCACTGATAGTCTCCCATAAAGTCTGTTATTTAGCACTACCTTTTTTTCTTACACAATTTCCAACTTATGTGTATGCTTTACAAGTGTGCAAATATTTTCTATTTGTTTAAAAATAAACAGATAGGACATTAGAATACTGGCTATAAACTACTTGGGTAAACAAACCTTCACAAGAGACTAAATATTTGGCACAAGAAAACCATCAACATTGAGAATTGTTTTTGTAACAAACTACATAAATAATGGAGCAACTCAGGGTGTACTTCTTTTAGTCTGATTGTGCAAGTAAAAGTGTAATAAAGCCATTCTCTTCTACAAAGAAGTTTTCTAATATATTTTATATCAAAACTTATTTTTGGAAAATGTTAAGTAATTCAAAACATACTTCTGTAATAAAATCTTAAATAACTTTTTTATCAAGCAAAACAGTAATTTGTAAGGTATATTCCTTTACCATTCCTACACTTAGAATACAAGTCATTCTTTTACACTAAAAAGAAATTACACTTTAACAGATTATGATCCATATGTTTAGATGAATTGCAAAAGCAAGAAAGAAGCGGTATCTGATTAGCAGATACATCGCTCCTTTTATTCCAGTATTTGCTAAAATGGTATAATCTACTATGTGCTTAATAAGCCTTAGGAGATGGAAGGTAAAGAACTTTCTTAGTACTTTGTATTTTATACAGACTAAAACTGAAATTGTGATGTACTCTCTAGGAGAGAGTTAATGAAATGTATCACCCAGAAACTACTGTGTCAAGTGGTCTGTAAGTCTATATCAGTTGTAAAACCACATACACAAAAGTACTGGCAGATAGTACATCAATCACACTTTTTTGGTGACCTGAAAGATTGGAGAGGCTCACACAATTATGTTATTTTACAATATTTTAAATATTTCTGAGCAGAATGCAAATAGTGGCAACACATGGTAAAACTTCAATTGTACTAAACTAGTAGACATTTCAAAGTATTAAAAAAGTAATAGTGCACCATATTTGCATGTTAATAAAGTGAACAGAAAGCATTTTTGTCAAACGAGTCAGAATTTCCCTGTTCCAGTCTTGGCTGTGTACTTACACGAATCAGCATTCATTTCTAGATTCTTGTGTAACATGCATTGTAGCTGAGGAAATATTCAGAATATTATCTTATATGTAAGGATGTAATGGAAATCATTAAGTGTGAATTATCTCATTTCACTATGAATTACCTCATTTCACTATCACCCAAAAAATACTCTTCCAAAGAAAAGCAACCTCTGTTCAGGCTACATATGTGTCTTATAAAATAAACATACGTTTTCACATAGGAGCTTAATTCCCTCTGTGCTATCCCTATTTTATTATAAGGACTGTAAAGCAATCACTACCATCACCAGTTCTAGGCTATTGGAGCTTCACTGAACCAATTCCCGCCAACACAGCCGAGACCAGAGCCAGTCACTTGTGGCACCCCTGAAGGCACCTCCGAGAGGTCTCATGGCAGTCACACCCTACAAACAGAGCTATGCGGCAGCTGGGCTGGCAAATGAGGGCCTCTCAGCTTGAATGAAATTTCATATGATAGGCAAGAGGGGCATTAAAAAAAAACCATAGTGGAGTTGCGATTCTAAACTCACGCTTATGTGTATTCAGAGCAACTATTGCAATGAGTGTACTCTCTGTGGTGTAAATTAGATCGCAAATAGGATGTTTAGATTATTTAAGCATTTTGGTCCTAATAAAAGACCTGGTAATTCCAGCCATTAACGCTTCAGTGCGTCGGCTGCAAATCCACTCACTCACAGCTTTAGGAAGGCAGCAGCAACCCCCTTTCCCCGAAACACCTGGCTGCTGAGGCGAAACTTTCCACCTCAGCCGGAGCCGACACGTCTCAGAAGCTGTGAAAGCATCTCGGCGGGGAAAGCGAAAGGACCGGCTGCTGAAGGCGGGGCCGGGGGGCGGGCGGGGGATGGCGGCTCCGCCCGGCGTGGGGGGGTCCTGATTCCCCACCCCCCCCTCCTCCCCAAACCGCCGGGTTTGGCCTCCGGGCGAACGGCTAATAAAGGCATCTCAAGTTGCCTTATAGCTCGCTGTCGGGGGCTGGCGGGCGAGCCCCCGGCCCGTGCCCTGCCCCCGCGCCCGGCTGCCCCTGCACCTGCGGCGGGGCAACCTGCCCTCCTCAGTGCGGCTGCATGGGCAGGCTGTTTGGCTACCGGGTCTGAAAAGCAGAGGGAATGGTAATAATAATGATAATAATAATAATAATAATAAAAAAAAGAAGATATCTGGCTGTCCTTCCTGCAGTGCTGTGTGCTGTGCACCTGCCTGCCTGTGGGGAGGGGGGTGGGGATACCAGACTGAATGGGTCATTGAACCTGATGGTGCTGTTTGCCTGTGCCAATGTGGGAGGCGGGGGGGTGCAGCATCAGTCCCCGCTCCCTCACCCACTCTGTGCATGTGTCTGCGTGTCGGGGCCCCGTGGGGGATGCGCAGGGCGCAGCGCTCTTACCTGCTTGCTGTACTTGCTGCTGGCCTGGCAGCTGTACTCGGAGCAGTGGTCCGAGCCGATGGAGATGTTGTCGCCGGCGCCCACGAAGGTGTTGGCCGGGGGCAGGTCCTGTACGGCCTGGTGCTTTTTGCCAGCGGTGGGAGACTGCGGGTGCAGCTGGACAGTGGGCAGGGGCGAGCTCGACTTGTAGTGCCTGGCCAGGTCAGGGCTGCCCGGGCCACCATTGACGGAACGGTATCGGCCCATACCGGGGCTGTCTGAGAGCTTCTCGTTGACGCTGTCATAGCGCTGCCCATTGGGCTTGGAAGCCTCAACAGTGACGATGCTGCTATAGAGGGGCTGCTTGCCCTTCTTGCCTTTCTTGTCCTTCTTGGGCTTCTTGGCCTTGTCGTGCTGCTGTGGAGTGAAGAAATCCTCATGGTCCTTCTTGCCAGCCTCGTAGCCATGCTTGCCCTTGGAGCGGCAGTAGCGGGCCATAACCACCACCAGGATGAGGAGGATGACAGTCATGATGCCAGCCACCACGCCAATAACTATGCTAAGCCGCTGCTTGCTCAGCTCATAGCTGGGGTCACCGGCAATGTCCTGGGCCAGGGGGGTATGAAGGCTGCGGGCCACCTGGCTCTCCACTACGGTAGCATTGGACAGGCTCTCATTGACAAAGACGTGCAGTAGGGCAGTTGTGGACTGGGGAGGCTGCCCACTGTCATTCACCTGCACAACCAGGCGGTGCAGGCCATAGTGCTTGGGGGCCAACTTGCCCACCAGTGACACCACACCACTGGCTGGGTCGATCTCAAAGAGTTTGAAGGGGTTACCCCCAACAATGCTGTAGTTGAGGTCAGCGTTGAGACCAGTGTCAGCATCAGTGGCAACCACTGTGGCCACTACAGTGCGCATGTTGCTGGAGGGTGGCAGCACGGTGTAGGAGCTGTTGCTGGGGAAGGTGACTGTGGGTGCATTGTCATTCTCATCCATCACAAAGAGAGACACAGTGGCAGTGGCAGAGCGTGGTGGCTCACCTCCATCCACTGCCTTCACCTTAAAGGTGTAGCTAGTCTGCTGTTCACGGTCAAAAGAGACAGTGGAGAAAATGGTTCCAGTGTCATTCTCGATGGAGAAGATGCCAGCTGCCTGGTCGTGGTCACCAGGCTGGATGGAGAGGCTGAGCTCGGCGTTGCGGCCCTTATCAAAGTCCATTACAGTCACCATGCCCACAGGGCTATTGGGCTGCAGGTTTTCCTTCACATAGAAGGTGAACACATCCTGCATGAAGCGCGGCTCATTGTCATTGCGGTCTGCCACCCGCACCACCACTGTGGTGGAGCCTTGTAATGATGGCACCCCCTTGTCCCGGGCTGTCACCTGGAACTCGTAGGTGTCACGTTGCTCACGGTCCAACACCGCCTGCACTGACACATCCCCAGAGTCGGGGTCGATGCTGAAGATGCTGCCCGGAGCCTCTGAGGATAGGGGTGAGGCCTCCAGTGAGTAGGTGATCTCGGCATTCTTGCCACTGTCCGCGTCTGTAGCGACCACTGTGGCCACCCTCTCACCTGGCAAGTTGTTTTCTGGGAAGGAGACCTCCAGCACGGCCTGGCTAAACACAGGAGGGTTGTCATTAGTGTCCCCAACCCGCACCAGCAAGGAATTGTTGCTGGACAAGCTGGGGCTGCCAGAGTCCACAGCCACAATCACCACGTTGTAGTCACGGACAGCTTCATAATCCAGAGGGGCCGAGGTGTGGAGGAAATACTTGCGCTTGTTCTGCGGCTCCCCTTCACCCTCACTGGCCGGCTTGAGCTGGAAGGGCACGTCACCTACCACAGTACAGGTCACCACGCCATTTTCACCTTGGTCCCTGTCTGACACCTGCACCAGGGCGATGGGGGTGTCCACCAGCACGTCCTCAGCCACACTAGCCACCCCATCCCGGAGTGGGATGCGCCCGATTTTCCGTATGTCAATGGTGGGCACGTTGTCGTTCTCATCCCGGATGTTCAGCACAACTGTGGCCTTGTCTGTCTTGGGGGGCTGGCCCCGGTCTCGGGCCATGACAGTGAAGCGAAGCTGGTTCACTTCCTCCCGGTCGATGCGGTGCAAGACGCTGAGCCAGCCCGAGTTCTCGTCCAGCCGCAGTAGACGCCTGACAGACTCCGTGGCCGCCCCGAAGACGTACTCGATCTGTCCATTCACCCCCACGTCCAGGTCGGTGGCTCGCAGCTGCAGGATCGGGGTCCCGGGGCTGCTGTTCTCCGCCAAGTCCGCCTCATAGACGCTCTTCTCGAAGCGGGGGCTGTTGTCGTTCACGTCGGTGATCAGCACCCTCAGGATCGCCTGCGAGGACCGTGCCGGGTCGCCGCCATCCCGCACGCGGAGGCTGAGCTCGTAGGAGTCCCGCTGCTCCCGGTCCAGCGCCCCCTTGACGATCAGCTGTGGCTGCTTCTCCCCGTCCAGGGTGTCGGCCACCTGCAGCTCGAAGACGCTGCTGCGGGCCGCCGCCTCTGCCTCCTGCCGCCGCTTGCTGCCGCCGGGGTAGGGGGCGCTCTCGGGGGCCGCCGCGGCCGAGACTCCCCCTCCGGCGCGGCGGGAGCCGTCCCCGCCGGGCTCCTGCAGCAGCTCGTAGCGCTCGATGCCGTTGCGGCCAAAGTCCCTGTCGGTGGCCGTGGGGAGAAGGTATAGGGTCCCCACGGGCCGGTTCTCCTCCACGGTGAGTGTGAGGACGGGGGAAGGGAAGGTGGGGGTGTTGTCGTTGATGTCCAGGATGATGACCCGGCCCTCGAAGAGGTCCACCCAGCTCTGCGACGGGCCGATGACCGACACCTCGAAGTCCAGGAAGCACTCGTTCTCGTCGAAGATCATCTGGCACTGCGGTAGCTTTTCGCGGTCGATGCGCCGCTCTGTGGTGCTCAGCTCCCCGGTTATGTTATCGATCTTGAGATAGTCGGAGCCCGACTCCAGGCTGAATGTCACCTCTCCGGAGCCCGTCACGATACCCAGGTCGGAAGCCACGTTGCCGATGCGGATGTCGGCGGGTCCCTCCTCGGCCAGGCGGTATTTCAGGAGCTGTTTAGCCGCTGCCAGGCTGACCCAGAGCGGCAGAGGCAGGAGGAGCAAGAAGCAGCAGCAGCAATGTACAAAACCAAGGAGGGTCCGCATCTTCCTCATCTTCCTTGCACTGAACCCCCCACCCTCCTCTCACTCCCACCTGCCCCCCCAAGTAAACTCCCCTGATAAGCCAACAGAGCGGCTGAGCGTCCAGGTGATCAATTATAAAATCCTTTTATTCCTGGAAACTTATTGTCTCATGGCCGGTGCAATTGGTGGTCAAAACCCTGATGCTGGCTCCTCTGCTGCCCTCCCTGCCTTCCAGTTGCGATATACTTACAGTTCACGGGACAGTGTATTTTGCCTTTTAAAGATTCATCTCGGTAGATAGGATGGGATTTTCCTTCTCCTCCCCCTTCTCCTCCTCCTCTCTGATTTTACTGTAATCACTTTGCAAGGTTTGCAATAAAAGCAAGAGCAGCACTGTACGATTCGAAGCCCCCCAGGTCGTCTTCTTCGACACTAGAGTTAACTACAATTCACACTCTCTCTCTCTTTTCTCTCTCCCTCTCTCTCTCCCTCTCTCCTCTCTCTCTCTGTCTCAGCCGTTTACAGCCAAGGCATTAGCTTTATTCTTCCCCCTCTCTGCACACACAGGGGAAAAAAAAATGTGATTCGCTTTATTCAAAGGGCTTGTGTCGGGAAAACTCCAAATCCTCTTAGCAATGGGCAGTTCTTAAAAAAAAAAAAAAAAAAAAGTGAAGAAAAAAAATAAAAATCCCAATAATGTCGGTAGCTGCACAGCTGATAGGAGAAGAACCCCGAGTATTACACACCAGTCCACAGAATATCCCCTTTGGTTGGCAGAAAAGCACCCAAATCCATCTTCAGAGATCACCTTAAATGTTCAGCTCTTTCTCCGGAGAGGATTTTTTTTTTAACAACTCTGCGCAAGGTCATTAGTCACAAAGCAACGATACAGAAACTGCAGAAGCCGTTTGCCCAGAATTTGCAAGGTTGGAGATAAGAACATAGACACACAACAGTCCCAAGTTTGTTTTTGCATCCGCAGTTTGTGTGTGTGCCTTACCTGCATTTGCACTGCATGTGTTATAGCAATCTGGATCTGCAGCACTGAGAGCGATTCACAAATGAGATTGCAGTCTCTCTCTCTCTCTCTCTCTCTCTCTTCCTTCCCGTCCCAATGCAGGTAACCAGATCTGAACTTGATCCTTTCAGTTCAAAGGTTAGCAACAAAACTATGTGTCCAAAGGCGATTATTGGTCTCTCGTAAATATACCCGGAGCGGAACAAGATGTAACTGGATCCCCCACGTGAATTAACACAGATTCTGAATTACATCCATATAAGCGGAATGGCAAAGGGGAGGGGAAAAGAGCCGCGACGCGATTAAAAAAAGAAAAAAGAGTTCTATTTGCAAATAAAATTATATCAGTCAGTTGTTTCCTGTGATCTGCACCGCCACAGTGGGTGAAATCTGCAATTGTGTATTCCCTCCTGTGTCTTTCAGAGAAGTGTGGATCAGGCGCTTTCACGGCAGAGCGGCTTGTGCTTTAAAATGTTGAATGGCAACTGAGAAGCTTCCCACTCGGAAGAAAAAAAAAAAAAAAAAAAAAAAAAAAAAAAAAAAAAGAAGAAGAAGCGGTAAACCGGCAAGTTTGCCCAAAGTGGTGGGAGCTGCTGAAGCCTCTCTCGGTAGCTCTTCCCTGACGCTGCAGCAGCAGAGCCGCCTGCGCTACATACACACAGAAAGAGAGAGGGAGAGAGAGAAAGAGGGAGAGCGGAGAGAGAGAGCGAGAGTGAGAGAGGGAGGGAGAAAGGGAGGGAGGAGGAGGAGGGAGGACGAGTCAAGCGCTGCACTCCAGAAAGCTCAGTCTTACCCTCTGTCTCTGCTGCTGCTAGTGCTGCAAGTGGGATAGCTGCTCATCTCAAAACACCAGTTCAGTCTTCAAAACCGAACCTCATTTCACGCCCGAGTGTTGCTTCTGTTGCCTTCTCAAACCTCTCTAGTGATTTTCTCCTACCCTTTCCCTCCCCACCTCCGCTGTAGACTGTGAATCGAGCAACGATTTTTAAAGCAAATGTTTATTCGCCTTTCTTTTCTTCTATTCTGCATTTTGCGGAATCACGCTGGTAAGGAAAGTCGTTTCGCAGATTCCCACCTTCCCCTGTCGTGTCGGTGCTTTTGTGAAATAGCTGCAGTCACTGTAACTGCATAGAACTCCAGGGAACAAGGGGGGCTGCCTTAGATCTCAGACTTTCGTCCTGTTTCCCAGTGCTGTTTGAGCCTCTCGGGTTTTGTAATGGTGTTCTTCCTATTATCATGATTTGAATGTGTCTTTTCAGCGTGCTTAGGGGTTTCCTAGGAGAAAAAAAAAAAAAAAAAAATCCCTCGGAGAAGATGATCAGGATGGGGGCAGGAGGGTTAGTAGAGTAAATACATGTAAGAAGTAACAGATTTATTTCTGAACAGAGACTTGCTGCTTGGCTGATAGCTAAAATGTAGCGTCACCTACCTGGGTAAGCGGGAAATAAACTTTAATGTTAAAGCTCTCTGCTCAACTTTGCTTATTCTGCCGTCCCTAGTTCGCGTCTCCTTTTGACTTTGTGCCATTTAACCGCCTACGGCTTTTGTGTGTCCCCCTACCCTTGGTGATGCCTGGCTCCTGTACCTGTCCTCTCCGCTCGGATCCCGGAGGTAGAAGGGAGACTCCGGGAGCAGGCGAACATAGGGCAGCCAGTGGGGAGAATCGGCGTGTGCGGGGGTGTCTGTGTGTGTATGTGTGTGTCTGCGGGTGTGTGCATGTGTGTGTGCCTGTGTGTGTGTGTCCGTGCGTGCGCGCAGCGAGGGGGAAGCAAGAATCCAGCTGCTCTTTCTCCCTCTGTGAACACATGTGGGAAAACAAGTTGTTGCGGGTTCTGTGTGTGCGTGTGTACATTCCTCTTTATGAGTGGCTGTTTTGAATAAAAATGCACGCAGATGAATATAGTGAAATGCTTTTCTTTCATCGCGATGGCATATTTGAGTGAAAAGCGGCCGTATATGTTGAGGCGGTTCAAAGCAACGGTCACAGCGTGTCTTTGTCATTTGGGGCAGTGAGTGACTGTAGGCGGGAGTGAAGGTTGTCACCTCTTTCCTTGGGGAGTCCAGAGGCACAGAGAGGCAGAGCCGCGCAGTATGGAGTCGGCGATAGGGAGGGAAGGACTGCTCCCCTCTCCGGAGGGCTGCAGAGCTACTCCTCCGGCGTCTCCTCCGGCCCTGGCACCGGCCCCGGCACTATCCCTGCCTCGCCAGAACACGAAAACACTCCCCCGCCGATGCTGGAGACACCCGGCTTTCTATCTGCAGCATCAGCGAGAAAGCCCTGCTCGGCGCAGGCTCAGTGCTCACCGCCGCAGTCCCGGACGGAGGAGGGGGGCTCGGGAACGCAGCATCTTCGCAGCGGGTTAAGTAGGATTAATACCAAATCCCTATTATATTTGCCAAGCAACTTGAATTTATCAAAATTCCCCCTCGTTGTTCTGGAGCTCCAAGAGGAGGAAATTTTGCTCACAGAGTAAAAGCCGGGCATGCCAGTACGTAGAAATACCAGCATACTGCATTACACTGGCTCCCTGCACTGGCAATACAATTGCGAGCCGCTGCTCCCGCTGTTCCCTTCCCTTTGTGTTTTTAAACGCAGCCAGGAAACTTAATGTATTCGCCAGGGGAGGAGCGGAATGAGAGCGTTTTTAACCTCCCTGCCATAAACTTTAATCGGATTCCGGGCTGTTGCACGGCATGGACGCTCGCCTCTTGCTTGCGTCTTCTTCCCCGTTGTCTCCCATGTCTACTTTTACTACGGTCTGTTCTGCGAGAGCCTCTTTCAAGCGAATGAGTGATTTCTTTCTCTTGCCATGTGCAACTGCTCCCCCTTCTTTTCCTACCCTCGCTGGCCTCTCTTACACACACTGTGCCTTTCACACGCGGTCTGCACCCCCAACCCCCCTCCCTTTCTTTCTTTTTTTTTGCAGTGTCTTCACATGCAATCTCTCTCTGAATATGCAATGTCTTTCCTGCTCGGGAGTGCTGCGTCCTTCACAGTGGATTGGTTCCTCTTTCGGAGCAGAGGTAACGGCCCCCCCCCTTTTCTATCATCCCCCCTTCCTCCCTCGCCTCCTCCCCTCCTCCCCCAGGGCAGGCGGCCGGCGTGGGAAATGGGCCCGACGTGCGCTGCATGGTGGATGGCCGCGCTGCTCCCGGTCCACGTGCCCCGGCTGCCGGGGGGAGGACGGGGCTGTGCTGGCTGTGTGTCCCCCGCACACCCCCCCTCCGCAGCACACTCGTTCGTGCGGGGAGAGAGTGGAATCACCCCCGCCCCCTCTCTCTGCCTCCCCGGCACCGTAGACTCCTGGTCCCGCGGCCCGTGCGCCCACGGCTTCCGGGGTGTCGGTAGGAACAAGCCCAGCCGTTTCAGGAGAAGGAGGTTTGTCGCTCTCAGGCAAATCTGTTGCGCAGTGTGACTCCCCCCCTCTTCCTGGCTGCCCCCCTCCCCGATGCACACAGACGCCCACACGCGCTCAGACGCGACACAGCATTTGTCCTCCTGATCGGGTGAGATCAAGTAGGGAGAGGGATCACAAATGTAATCGTCTGTAATAAATAAAATATCCCGAGATGCTGGTGATATACAGAGGGGAAATAGGAGCTTGTGTCCTTAAAGGGAACATCTGATAAGGCCACCGAAGTGGCATCTTGCGTGTGGGAAGGAATCCGTCTTGCTGACAATCGCAGCCGGCTGTACGTGGGGAAATCCTAAAGCAGCCTGTGAGCTTCCCCGGCTCTTTTCATCCCCCCCAAGCTCCCGATCCTCGGCAGCGGGGCTTTGTTGTCGTTGTTGTAGTTGTTGATTGGAAACACAGGGGTCATCGCTAAAATATGCAGATGTAATTAATGTCTGCTTTATCTGCATGTCTTGGCTGCGCCCGGCTTCTGTCGTCGGCAGCCGAACTCGCGTCCACACTTGGCGCTTTCACCCCACGATGATTTCGTTTTCGCAGTTTAGGAATTTCGGTGACTCTCACTGGAAAATTACTTCTGGGATCCCTGGTTAAAACCAGACAGACTGCTTAACGCATCCATACCTCTCTATATGTTAACAAATGCATATTACTTATTACTATTTGCATGCACACAAAGGAAAAAGAAGCTCCAGAAGGTTAAAAAATCGGGTTGGCTTGAAAGTAACATATTCATAATAATACGTGGAAAAGGTTAAATACAGTAAACATGACAGCAAATTCGAAAGCAGGGTAAAAGCAAGGACAGAACCCCCACATGCAGCCGTTAAAGCCATTGGACGGAAAGGAGAAACTAACTCAAGAACTCCACCAAGGGACAAACAGCTGAAATGACAACACAGCAGCACGGAGCCCGCGGTGACCTCTCATCTCTCTAAAGTGTCTTGCTGATCTGGTACAATTCTGTTGTGACCTCTTCACTCCCTTTCTTACCACAACCGCCCTCTGTCCGCCTCAGAGCTGCCTTAGTTCCTTGCAGTGAATATACTGGGAGGCCGGCTGAGTTACAGGGAGTATTGACACTTGGCCAGTGTCTTTCACAGCTTTGAAAACATGCTTGCTGTGTAGTAGCATGTAATAGGCAGCACTGATTAAATTATTCATTGCAGCAACAGCCTTTCTGATGGACGTTAAAACTTAAGAGTTTAAATAAGGAAACCACAGATTCACTTTTAAGCAGATAAAACCCACATCTGTGCTTATTTAACTGAATGCTGGCTAAGCATGAAACCAGTTCCTTTGTTTAAATCCTATCTCTTTTACTCTCTTTCAGAATTTTGAGCTAGATAATACACCATAAAAGTTACTGACAGAGCAGAATTAATCTGTGTTGGATAACAGTGGTTAAATCTCACATGATTATAATTGCTCATTCTTAAAGTCGTATCTGAGGTCTGTTCAAAATGAAAGGTTCTTGGATAGGCATGATTTCATCAGCATTTCTGATTTCTCACATTTATAAAGAATTATAATAATATTTAACCAAAGGGGTAGTGATTCTGTTTACTAAGATTTTTGCCGTGTATATATATTTCTTACAAATCACGATTAATAACTTTGAGGTTTTCTCTTTCTTCCATTTGTTCTTGACATTATTCTATAGAATTTGTTATGAAAGGTCTTTTTCAGACTGTTTTTTTTCCCCAGATGTCGACAAAAAAATCTAACTATTCAAAATCATGCAGAAATGACAGACAGAATATGCTTAAAATCAGAAGGAAAAATTAATGAAAGGTCTTAAAAAAAGCATATGAATTTTTATGAGGGGAGGCAGATTTTTGCTAGATTTATGCTTCATATGCAACTATTGACTTTCCTGGATTTGCAGGGTTATAAAGGAGTGCTGTACCCAGCCCCATTATTTTATAGATTTATTTTTAAATAAAATACTGTTCAGTTTCCCTAAATGCAAAGTAAAGTGTAGAAAAAATTAGAGTTTGCATGAATTCCTATAAAAATATAGAGAAATTATGAATAATTACTAGGTATTTTACATAAACAGATACAATGGATAGGCATGGGAGGGGAGGCATTCAGAGGAGATAATTAAAGCTGGATTTAATTTAAATGAAATGTATAAGAAGCAGGTAGCACTGACAAAGAGAGAAAAATGTGTTCATTGTCACTGAAAATATTAAATGGGTATAGTTGATATGCATATGGATTCACTAGCAGAGAACACCAGTTACTTTGGGAAATAATGTAGGTCTTTTTTTTTTTTAATCCATAATGCTTCCAAGGTGGATCTCAGTAGTGAGCACACTGAAGGTCCTAAAGTGCTTTGTAAATTATTCCTGTGAGATAAAAGGAAGTGCAATGACCTGCTCAGTCACCTAGGAAAGCCAGTAACAAATGGCTCTTTCCAGATTATGTTAGTCAGATCACAGTTTTGCACTTCCGTATTTTTTTAATAAATATTCTGGATTCACCTCATGATTTGTCTTTGCATATGTGGCAATCATTTCTGCTTGATTTGGTGGACTGGTGGAAAGTCAAAGAAGCTCATTCTGAAGAGAGTATAAAACAAGTTTGTGTTCCAGAGAACTCCATATACAAAGAAATGTGTCATGAAATTTGATGAATAGCAGTAAAATATACTAAACTGTTACAGATATATTGAAATACAGTTATTTTCAAGCTCAGGCTCCCACTTACTTCTGTCAGATATGCTTTATGTACTGAACTGAGTACACAGACTTCGTAAAACCATTTTGCCTTTACAACTCTTGAAGACTTCTCAACATAATTTTTCAGTTCTATGCTCTACGCTTTTTTTTTATTTATTTGTTTTAGGGTGCTAAAAATATTTTTTCTGCAAATTACAGTTTTCTTCATTTTTAAATGAAAATCACCGGATCATAAAATATTTTGTTCAATATTCCTAGTTCATCCTGTGCAACTTTAATTTATTTTTATTATAATTCAGGAGAGTATAAAAGATCTGGCACATCTTCATGAATCTACTGTATCAGCTGCCTGTTGAGCAGAAGAGAAAATATCCAAGCAAGATGGCAACTCTGCTGAGTTCTGAAGAAGAACCTTTGATATCGTAATTCAAACACTGTTATGGATAATTGAATTCTGTGATGCTCTATACCTTTGTGTATGTTAATACCAATATATGTTATTGACTATACCTAAAACAAAATTTATAAATCTACATATATAAATACTTACTTATTTGAGAGCTTTAATGTTTCTGTCTACTTTATCAAAAACAATTACTGATCTCTGGCTGAAATAAGAGTCATATAAATACACAGTTATTCTAAATGAAGGAAATAAATATGGTGGCAAAGGAAGTCATTTAGAATAGGACCAAGCTGTTGGTTGCTTATTGGACAGGCTATTTGGCTTTGTTCTGCAATGATTAAAAGTGCTTCACTAGGTATTTTATAATGTTAAAACTTGCCATTTCTTTTCATATGAAAAGTGCAACATTAGAATCCTTAGAGATTGTATTGCTATAAGCCTTATTTAGCTGTACAGTGCAGAAGCAGACAATGTTTTTCTTTAATCCATTGTTTGACTCTATCGAGGGCATGACTATTCACTGAAAAAAAGGAAGGGCTATTAACCTGCCACCATCTGCTGTTAATGGTGAGCAAAAGAAAGTGTGCAGAGATGGAGTCCCTTGCACATTTCCCTGAACTAGATTAAAACATAAACATATATACCCACGTGTGTACTGCACAGGTCTTTGGCATTTAGCCAAAATGAGAATTAGAGGCTGGATAAGACCCTGGTTATATCACTCTAAAACAGGATGCTTTAATCATCAATAGAAGTAGCTAAATACATTTTAGGCTGTAAAACACTGACCTATATGGTGGTACTGATCAGCTGGTCCTCTGATCAGCTTTGCTTCTGAAATGTTTTATGTTGCTACCTTAATTCTCCAAAATAAGAGTGAAGGATCTGTAGCCACCCTTTCTGTGGGGAAGTTTACATAGCCTGGCTTTGAAATAATTTGTTCACCTGCTGCCTCACTTGCACTTTTTCCCATGCACAGAGAGCCATAGTTTTATGTCTGCTTTAGCTGTTTTGCAAAGTTTCTTCTCATAATTACATTTTCAGCTTCCTTTATAAGAGTAATAAGTACTGTACAGAGGGGGGTTTTATGACCTACAATATATCTAGAGGAAGAGAGGTACTGATAAGTTTCCACATATTTCATCTTCTGATAGAAGCCTGACATATCTTCCAGTTCATTCATTCTGTGAGATGATTAAAAAGTTGCTCTTCAACAAACTAAACCTCATCCAGGGCTCAGCAGGAAATAACTGCAATCTAAGCACATTAAAGAACAGACAGGGCAAACCAAAGTATACCTCTTTCTTTCCCTCTTAACATCATGGGGAAAAGAGAAAAGCAGTCTAATATTGTGATAAAACTGCAAGCCTGCAGCAGCTGGTTGATGGGTAAGGATATAGAACCTAATCCAAAGCATACAGAACTCAATGGAAGCACTTTGACTAAATAAGCTTTGCATTAGGCACCTAGTGAGTGAATGATGTTTAAAGCATTCATGTAGATCTTAAGCAGATGAGTGAAGAAGAAAATGATGTGCGTTTGAATCAAAATAAATTCCATTAAACCACTGGGTGTAAATGTTATTTTGCCTGACCTCAGAGATCATGTTTATGACTCAGAATAAACTGACATTCTTCAGTGCTGAGTCCTGTCCTCCACTAGTGCAAGCACTCATGTTGCATAAAAAGAAGCATGTTGCATATTTTTGAAATATATCTTTATATATATGTAAAGTTCTTATGTTGATACTAATCTCAAGGTTCAATACATTATAAACACCTGCAGGCTCTTTTTATCCATACATGTGTTTAGTGAGGGCATTTCTCTCATCTTAGGGGTTTTTTTTGCAGAATAATGCAAGATTTTTCAATTTCCTTTCATGAGTTAAGTTCTACATTCCTGACATCATGCTGATAAACTTCCCTTTCACCTCTACTCCGTTTTTAATGACATTTTCAGTGAATCTTTGGTTAATATGGAGGACAGAAATTGTTCTACCTCATGAGGTAGTGTTAAATACCACTTTCTTTAATCCAGAAATATCTTTCTTAATACTCCCTATTAGCATTTTTCATAACTACATCATGTTTTGGTGGCTGATAGTCCTTCTCAAGTAGATTGGCTGCATCTTTATTTTCAGCTGATGAATTCACAGTTTAAAGCTGAAAATATAGTTACATTGCTCTTTTGTACTATTAAGTTTAATCTCATTTCTGTTATAGAAGTCATCAAGGTCATCTGATTCTTCCTATATGTTTTTATCATTTCATGGTTCTCAGACTTGCTTTACCAACAAATTTCAGCAACATGCTCCAAGGTTTTGTGATCTGGGTTTTAATTTAAATATCAAAAAGATCTATGGCAAGACAGCCCATGAAGAACCCATCTGATGATGCAAACACCTAACACAGTCTGTTGTCCTCTCTCGATTAGTTCTTTATCTTCTCAGTCTTAAGTAATTCTTTTCATATCAGATAGTGTCAAAAACTGTTTTGAAATCCAGATAGGTGAGATCTTCTTTTGCTTTCCTTAGAAGATAAATTATTAAAGAAAGGTGTTGATAAAAGGTATTATATACTCTTTGAAATATTTGGATAGATTTTATTAAGTTTGCTTTGTACTTCTGTGTACTCTGTACTTCTGTACTTGTATGAAGAATAGTTCCCCTGTATTTGGCACTGGTGAGGCTGCATGTTGAGTGCTGTGTCCAGTTCTGGGCTCCTCAGTAAAAGAAAGACACTGAGGTGCAGGAGTGAGTCCTGAGAAGGGCAACGAAGCTGGTGAAGGGTCTAGAGAGTAAGTCACATGAGGAGCGGCTGAGGAAGCTGGGGTTGTTTAGCCTGCAGAAAAGGAGGCTCAGAGGTGACCTTATTGCTCTCTACAACTACATGAAAGAAGGTTGTAGGAAGGTAGGGGTCAGCCTCTTCTTCCAGGTAACTAGTGACAAGACAAGAGCACATAGACTCAAGCTGCACCAGGGGAGGTTCAGGTTGGACATCAGAAATAATTTCTTCACGGAAAGTTTTGTTAAAAATTGGAATGGACTACCCAGGAAGGTAGTGGAGTAACCATCCCTGGAGGTGTTCAAGAAACAACTGGATGTGACATTTAGTGCCGTGGTCTAGTTGACAAGGTGGCAATCAGTCAAAGGCTGGACTTTATGATCTCAGAGATCTTTTCCAACCTAAATGATTCTGTAATTCTGTGCTATTACTCATTTTTTTGCTTCAGAATTCATCTTAATGCTTTACATTCTAAAATCATCTAAAAAAGCATATTGAAACATCTATTTATTTCTTCTCTTCTGTTTCCTTTTCAAATGTAGGCAGGCCATTTGCTATTTTCTATAAATGATCATCCTGACATACTTACTAAAAATCCTTGTTCTAGACTCTTTAGACATATATATTAATTTCTTCAGGATTCTGCAGTGAAAGTTAGGTAGACTCTTGCTTTGAATATTTTCTAGTGTTTGAATTAATTTCATTTAAGATGTGCTCTTCTTCTGTAACTTTGTTTTCATTGATCACTTTCCTCATTTCAGTATTGCAATCCTTGTTGAAACCTGAAACACTGTTTAAGTTATTTGGGTATTTCCAGGTAAATAATTAGAATTTTACTGATCTAGCATGTTCTGCAAAAGTGAAGCCATTGCTTAGCAATTTTTTTAATAAGACTTGAAGGTTTACATATGACACTTCATTAAAGAGTACAAGGACTTACACTATTTACACTATTTACATATTCTGCTATTTTACCACTGCATGTCTGCATGTCTTTCTTGTCTACATATTGCCTACATATCATCTACATTAGTATCTGCAAATTCATTAATTTACATATCTGAATGCTTTATATGAAAAGAAGGGGAATGAAAGTGAAGATAAGTAGATCATTGCAGAGCAAAAGAAGCTATATTTGACCAAAAGGAATTTAGAACTTTCAAAGAGTTGAATAATGTACAGGTAGAAAACAGGTTGAAGAAACTGAAAACATGCATGGGTTTTGTATTTTACAAGACCAGAGCTATCCAGAATGTCAAAGGTCAATCCAAATTATGAGAGACACTACCAGTTGCCAGATGTTGTCAAGCTGAATATACAGAGAGTGTATATACATATATATGAATATATAAAGTCCTTGATGAACAAAAAAAATCCAAAAACTAGAATAAATCATTCCATGAAGATTCTTCTATCAAATACTTTGGAGAAGTTTAGAGAAATAGATGAGAACAAGAAGACTAGAAATAGAATAGGTAAAGTTTTTTTTAATTATGTGAAAAAATACAATGAAAATTTTATAAGGGAGAAAGGAGAAAGAACAGATTTCAGAAAACTGATGGCATTCCAATTTTAATTTTAAAACTATGCATTAACACAGCTGGGTGAAGCTACTTCTTAACTAAGTTATTAGGCTTTTATTTATTAACTTTTATTTTTCTTTTAAAAACATTTTGGCATTTTTGTACTAAACTTCCATTTTTTTTACCTCATGGGAGACTCCATGACTCATAGTGTAATTTAAAGAGGATATATTTAATTTACTTCAGTTCCAAGAAGTTCATGAACACAAAGCAATGAGAAGAAAACTTTTTTAGTTTCATCTTATGTGTCATTCGTGGAAGAAGTTATTGACTTAAGTTGGTATTATTACTCCTCTGAAAGTTATAAGTAAGAATGATAACTATTATGATTTCATGACACTTCAAATAATATATCCCTTTTTTTGGTTGCTTATTAGTTTACTGAACTTTAGTATATAACTTCTTTCCAAGTCTGAAGCTATATTTAAATTTTTGAAAAAGACTGATTCAGTGATATCTGATAATGACACTCATGATGAAATTTATAGACAAGCTTATTTAAATTTTTTCAGCACTTTTATACATTTCACTATGAACTTGAGCTTTTAAGAGGTTAACTTTTGGGAGTTTTTGTCTTATGATTAAAATCTATCCACCCAAGTTTGTTCAAATAGCAACACACTAAAACACTGCATTTTACGTAAGTAAAACTTTACATTTTTTAGATAATAAATTCCACAAATATTTTATTCACATTTTGTGTAGCCCAACATGTGGTTAACTAATACTTTTTGACAATTTCAGCTCTTTGCCCAGAAACTACAATACTCCAACATTATGTGACCTCTCTTTTGGGACATAACAATGCGAAGCAGGAAGTGCCATGTTTGAACACAGAGGGATGGAAGTTAGATCTGAAGAGAGAGAAGAGGATGAATAAGGGTTATTGACTGGTCTAGGTATCAATGAAGTAAAAAAAAAACCCTGTGAAATATACTATAAAATTATCCCACTTACGCTCTTTCTAAACAGTGATAACATTTAGTTGTTTTTCAAATCACAGCAGCTTACTTGGAAGATAAAAAGGATATGGTCCTGATGACCAGCCATGTAAGTATCATTAATACAGCATATGATTAAACTTTTGTTGTGTTTTCAGTTTGTTTGTTTGGGTTTTCACTGGGAAATGGTCTAGCAAAAAAGAGTAATATAAACCCCTCCAAACTAATATCAAGAACACTGCTTATGTTGCCAAATATGAAAACTATACACAATATAACAGAAGTTAGAAAAAAAATTAGAATAATGCTGTCAGCAGACCCTTAATTCAGTGATTCCAATCTAATTACGTGTTCACATATTCTTTCTCCACTGAATTTCAGTTTGAAATAAAAATAAATTCAACTGAATAAATTAAAATACATAAATATTTTTTAATACATTAATACATATTTTTATGTAATAATTGTGGCAGGATAGGCCCACCCTGAAAAAATCTAAAATCCAATCAAGTTATAAACTGCTGGTGCCAGAGTGTTGTCTTGGTGTTAAATCATGCTAAAACCATGCTGGTCCACCAAACATTGAATACACACCCTGCTTTTGAAGCAGGACTTGACAGGTAAGCTAGTCTGTGGGCTTGTAAATCTGCGACTACTGTCACTTCATAACTATAAAAACCCAGTCTAACTTCCATATGGCAGATTCTTCCACTTACTTCCTCGAAGTGTAGAGCTTTTCCCACGAAGCAAGGAGACTTCATGATTACTCCCCAAAGGTTGAGAGAGAGAGAGAGACCTGCCCCCTCTCTTGTATGGTGAGTTGCATCAACCTCTACTTATTATTTCTTTTACTAGCTTCAATACAATTACTTTAATATCGTTTCTTTGTTACAGTGCACTGTATTACTTTGTTGTACAATGTTCTACTAGTAGATTTTTTAGCTTTTACACTGTGTAGTAAATCTGATTAAGATCTTTCATCTGTTCACCTGTTTGTTAATTTGTCATAATAAATAATTCATTTGTATAAATATATCTGTTTTGCCATCATTAAAACCTGCAGGACAAGGTGATTTAATCATACCTCTATAATTCCTTTAAATTTAAACCATTAACACAGTCTGAGGCTAAGATAGGATTCAGCTGCACCTCAGCCCTTCTCTGAGAAGAGGTTTAGAAAGCAAGGTGCTTTCTGCACCTTGAGACTCACCAGCAAGGCTTTGCTATTTAGTAATTTTGTTTAAGCCTTCCACTCGCCCAGGACAATTATACAGAATAAATGTGTAAGATTAGATTTAATAAGAAAGTTATTTGATTTTAAATTTTTTTCATGTTCAGTATTAGTCTCAAGGCATTACTTACTGCACACTGCTCAAGGAGCATCCTGGACACAGAATTATAAATGGAACTTTTTATGATATATATCACTGCATTATCTAAAAAAATTAAAGCCTTCATTTGATTTGTGAAGAATTGTATTATATCATGGATTATCATGAGTCCATTATTAAAGATGGGAAGGTACTACAGACATGCAGGTCAAAAATAACCACAGATTTAGGATATCTGAGTGTTTAAGGTCCATATTTTTGTGGAGTACTTAGAATCGCATGGCTTTTATATGTGCTACCCAAAACTCTCACTGACATAATATGTGTCTGGAGACACTCACTACTAAACAGTCTCATGATTTCAGGTAAGAACTCACATGAAATCACAGTTAAAATATCTTGTTCTGTGACAATATCGTGGGGGAACTCAATGCTGGAAGTGAGTGCTAGTTTCCAGCTTTAAAATAAAATATTCTAACACTGTGAAACACTGTTTTCTGCCTTGATTTAATTTCAGAGAAGTTCAGTTCTGTACAATGAAGAAAGTAGGGACCTTGAGCGGAAAAAAATCTGACTTTAATGAAGTGACTTTAATGACTATGTCAGACTTCACAAGTACAACTGTGTGTAACCACCAGGTAGATCCCACCTATAGCTTCATTTCATCATTTTCTAACTATGAAATGAACATAAAATTTTTTGACCCAATGATCTCCTTTTAATACAATTATGTGGCATATAATAATTTCCATTGCAGACAGAGGACAGCAAAGATCCCTGTCTATACAAAAGGAAATATGCTGAGGTATAAAATGCTTTGGAGAAGAAGGAACTGGGGTGTGGGGAAGAACTCTTGAATAAGCATAAATGGGAGATGCACAGATGGTAGAAGTTCCCAAATGTTCAATGATTCTCTCTGGGCATCTTTTGCTATGTAAGTGTGATAATATTTGTTAGAAGGCATGATTAAGGCTTTATGGTCTTCACAGATGGAATGTAATTTAGTGGAAGGACTTGAAAGAAAGAAGAGTCAGATATGAAATGTATTCCATGACAGGAATTAGAAAGGGTTGGGTCCATAGAGGCAACATAGATATAACAATAACTAAATATTGTTCTGTAATCCTATCTGTGAAAGAAAAGACCTGAGTTCCCTTCATCCAGGGATATCTCTGCTTTTCTCAATGGAATGTGTAACATAAAACATACTAGCAATTCAGAAAACTTACTTAAAGTCATATTGTCAATTAAGTAGCCTATTAGGCTACTTATTTACACTTCCACTCTTTCAACTCACAGCAAGCCTCCTGTCCACTGTGTATTATATGTCAGGTAGGAAGAAAGCCCCTTGACAATATAGGGCAGTAAACTTCAGAATGGAACTAAGCTTCCATTTCCCTCAACTTCCCTTTGAGGGATATAGAAGAAAGTCATACCAGATAAACTGATTTACCTAGACCCTCTTTCAGAGATTCCTACATAACATATATACATATGCTTGTATGTATATATTAAAAAAAAAAGTATAATATAAAAAATAAATATGCATATGTGTATGTGATAATAGCAAGAAAACACTTGACAAATAGGTACTGCCATGCAAAATTTCATAAACCAAAAGAGTTGTCAATAGGACATCAGAATTGTTTGTCAACCATGTACAGAATATGGTCAATCTTTTCAGATTCACCAGTAGAAAGACTTGGAGTAAATAATTTAGGCTGCTTCTTTTTTTTCCCCTGTTATACATAAATTAAAAGGAGAAATAGTTTTTTAGAAAATAGTTTTGGTTTTAAGAAGCAAGAAGGATTAGATGTCAACTAAATGACTGTAGAAGAATGCAGACGTCATTACTGATCTTCAGTCATGCTGGAAATTTAAGGTCTGAGACTGAGAACAGCCCATGTAATAGCACTCTCTCACCACAGAAGCACTCTCATGAAAACCACCATTCAAGGCTGCTGTCACATCTGACTCGTGGATTCAAAAAAAATGGACTCTGGACCAGAGTGAGGACTAATCAGTCATGAAATACTATTTTAAAAAATAATATTTACTCTTCCTAGAGGGAAAAGAAAGCTGCTAAATATTCACCTCTTGCCTTATAATTACAACAGTAAGATTTCTGTTAATGATTCTTCATTAAGTCTAGTTACAAACTGGAGAGAGACAAAAATATTCCCATGTTGTACTCTTTTTTTTGGACTTGAGATATATTTATGGAAAAAAAAAAAAAAAAAGAACATACCTTTCTAAAACAAAGGACAGATTTTCACTTTAAAGAAGGTTGTCAGGAAGCCAAACTCTCATATTTGATGTTCAAGTATATTGTGCTCAAAATCTCACCTGCTTATAGCCTGTTCTTGGTAAGGTGTTTAGTTTGACTATCTGGCCTCCTTCAGTGTTTTGTTTCCCAGAGCTATCTCTCCCTTACAAAAATATCTGTGCCAATTTAAGGCATTTTGAAGTCAATCGGTTATAAATGTAAGCTTGTACTATGGGACTTCGCTTTAATGTGGTTAATGAATATGTTCCCATGACTTTTAAATGGACTGGTGCCCCAGCACATTTTCAAAATTACACCATTTGAAGACATTTCCACTTATAATGGGGCTTAAATCTTATTTCCTTCAATATCTGCACTCAGTCTATTTTAAGGCTTCTCTGGAAAAAAAAATTATATCTCAGCTGCTGCTCCTGCTCTTAATGCTTTCCTAGTAACAGTAAGTGCAGAAACCAACTGATGCCTCACTCTGATACTCACACAGAAACAATATGCAGACACTGTACTATCCTCCATTCCTGGCTCAAGAGCTCTGTGCTACCATTTCACATTATCTACACACACAGCTGCTGTTCCATGTGTCTGCTAAAGCTTCATGCCTCTCTGTAGTCTGTGAGACTTCACATTTTCCCTGTAGGAACTTAGAGTGAGACTGGTAAAGACTCCCTTAATTGCAAGCTACTGCAGATCCTAATTGGGGAAAAAAAGTGCATCACCTGAAATAGACCTGAAATAATAGTTCAGACACAGTCCTGGATGAGTGGAAGGAGGAAAAATAGAAGGGGCTATAAAGAAGGTGAGAAAAGAGGTGGAAGTTGTACTGTTTGATTGTGTCCTTCACTTGCTGAGTCAGTAGGAGCCAAGAGCTCTGCAGGGGCACATTTAGTCTTCACATTTCTCCATAGAAACCCCATCTGGCCAACTAAATTGCCAGCAATTGAGAAACCATGCAGGAAGCTGTATCCAGCTATTCTCATTCAGTGTGAAGGTTACTGTGTTGTGGAGGTAGTAGAAGAGGAAATAAGGAAAACATTGCAAGACTGTACCTCCCACACACAGTAAATGAAAACATCAAATATGAATTGAATTTGAGGTGTTCACTGCTGTAGTTCTTAGACACATATAGGCAGTCTGAGAAAATATTACTTCTATTTTAGAAAGATCCATCAGGCAAATTTGGGAGGAAAAATCATCATGTAGAAAAAAAGTTCAAGGAAATTCAATCGTCAAATTTTAGGATTTGTATTTGAATTTCACAATCAAAAGCTTTTACTTTTAATCTTTTTATCAGGCTGTTTGAAAGAACTTTCTTGGAGCTCTACTGGGTCTTTGCAAGGATGACTGACTTCAACCTCCATTTAAAAGGCCTAAAAAACCTTTTACATTAGGCCTTCTCTGGGACTATTAAAATGCAGTGTTCATTTAGATGCAAGTACTGAACTAAGATATAAACCAAAGACAAAAAATAAAAACATTGCATAAAAGAGTCCAATAATTTATGTGGGGAAAGCTCCAGAAGAATGCATCAGCTACTGGTTTATGTGCTGTAAAACAGTAGTTGCACTTTAGCCTTTTAGTTTGGTGTTTCCCAATGAGTGAGGCTGCTCTCACTAGAGAAATGTGCTTGCACTATAAAGGTGAGGCACAGAACAGAGTACAATCCAATGAATGTATTAACTTAGGCTCTATGCCCAGACTGGCACTGCCAGCAGTACCAAACTGAAGAAAAAGAAGATGATCAAGTACAGCACTGTGAAAAAAAAGGGAAACGGGGAAAAAGGACAACAGTTTCCAGAAAAGCTTGGTCTCTCTGCTCACAGTAAAATATGTTAAATAAGCCAATATCCCTTGTTGCATAACTTCTTCAGTTCCCTGATGCTAGCTGTAGCTTGGTGTCAGCAGGTTGTGTTACCCTGGTGAGCTGAGTTACTCTCAGGTGACTGGGTCTCTTGATGGTGCTTTATTGATCAAGTCTTCATGTGGTCTACGCAGTTTATAAAGGCATCAGTATTCAGGTTTCAGCATGGAATGAGTGATCATTCAGATTCAAAATTGCCAGTCCTTTGTATTTTATGTGAAGTATTTGAGTTTCAGGAGAACTTAAATTTTAATTTCAGATTAATTTTTTCTTTCACTGATTGAACCTCATTTTCTATAAGCCTTGCAAAGCTTTGACAACTGGGCACAAAAAGTTTCCCAG